TTTCTGGCCAAGAAATTCATCATCTGAGTAGTACCCATAGAATAACGGTGAGTATCGAAGATAACCCTATAAGATGATAAAAAATACAGTGCAAAGAGACCGTAAGCAATTTTTCAAATCTAGAACTGCTCTGATGAGAAAAAACTGATAGAAGAAGAAGAATATGTGAAGAAATCAGAGAGCGAAATATAGGTTATGATCCAATGTGAGAATTCCCAAATCTGAATGGATTTGAGCAACCTACGTCATAATGCCAAACAACAGCTATTTCATCAGCATGTATCCGCTCATTATGAGGGATTTCTTTCCGAGATTCTGTTCGGTTTCGTCGAGCTTCGTCAGCAGCAGCGTCAGCCAAAGTCTAGATTATGAACCAATTAATGACTGCTTTCCTTACCGAGCGAGCCTTGGCTGTCATTCAGAATGTCGGATAAAGTGCTACAACAGGCGCTATCAAGTAAATTCTGGAGAACTTACCTCGGGTAGAACAACCAGCGCAACAATAATCAACGTTATAATCACATTTACAAACACGATCCATCGTAGGAATGTGAAGTACGAAGAAACGACGGAACCAAAGTGACCTAAAAATAGACGGACCGACTTGTACGTATCTTTTTATGGATTTTTGTTGTTTATGAGTAATTCGTGCCAGTTCCCCACGGAGCTGTGAAGTTCGGCAATGATATATAGCCTCGTGAAATCCGCATAGCTACATCTCATTTGTGGTCTTTCAATTGACTCACTTTCTATACGTTTGATTTTCCCTTCCCATGGTATCAGATAAGTTTTGAAGTTTGAGAAGGATCTTTTTAATATACGCATCCGTTTTCGTAACTCTTCCATGTAGAGATGCGTCCGAGATACGCGTGATTCGTGTTGTTCCAGGTATTTTTGAGCTAACCTGCAATAAATTTCTTGAGGTCCTCAACACATAGAAAACAACCGTAAAATCAATACACCACTCAATGACATCTTAAAGCTTACTTTAAGGTACGTTTTTTCCTTGTCATACTCCATGGTTGACACCTCAGCTTGCCTATAACCTCTTTCTTTTGTCGAATTCTCTCTAGGAGTACCTAAAAACTGGATAAAAAAGTTTGCACTAACCTTAAAAAGGGACATTTGCCAAAAAGACGGGAAGTGTATCAGTTTTTTTAGAACTCTTTAGCTGAGAAACCCTTTTTGCGATGCGAACAATAACATGTTCCATCGGTAAACAAGGTTGCAAACCAACCACAAACTTCTTTTCGATCAATAAGTGTAACTCATAATCTTGAAGTTTTAGAAGATTTAGTCTCAAGTGAACTTGAAATTTGTTCACATTCAGAAAGACCTTTTCCTTAGGAAAAGAACTGCAGCGTCTCTGTTTTGAATGTTAAGGGAAAATTAGAGTTTCTGAAGTAGTGGTTCAACAAAGTTTTACTAATTTGCCATGAAGAGACTAAAAAAATGCAGATTTGTCTAAACAAGAAAGCTAGAATCATGCTCGAAAATTAGGGTATTAAAATTGAAAAGAGAAGTTAATCTTTCAATAGGATGTATTTAGGTTGATAGCCGAAAGACAGCCATGCATGAATTCACTAGAGTAATTTACACGCAAAATTTTGATGAATTTTGAATTTCTTCCATATAAAAGGATCGAAAAAAGGAAAGGTATTAGAACGTAAGGATTGATGATGAAACCAAAGACAGAT